CTGCACAAATGGACCATGCTTCAAAAATGCATAAATAATGGACAAATGACTTTCACCAAACGAGGAGACTTCTCTTCCAGTACTAATACCGTATGGACTGTGAATGCGGCACTTCCGATTTCATCGTCATATGAGTTCTTCTGTGGGAAAAATGAGTCATGGAACTTTTCGCTTGCCGAGGAAAAAAAGTGGTGGCCCAACAAGCCGTGGATCGACAAATGGCATAAGCCAACGTGTATTAAGCAGCGCCGTTTTGGTTTGACGCGAACGAAAATATCAAAGAAATGCAAAAAAAATTTGGGGTGATCAAGTGGAAAAAATGAAAAAATAATGAATAATTTTAAGCAGTGTTTTAAAAAAAACACAAATAAAGTTAAACATTGCAGTAGAAGGATCCGCTTGAATGCCTCCAGAGAAATTATATAGATGAGAGAAATCCAAGCTAGAGAAGAATGGAAAAGTTGCCGGCTGCAATAATGGCTAGAAGAAAGGCGGCGATGAAACAAAATACATAAAACTGTTAAAGAATTAGAATAAGTGCTAAAAAGATCTACAGCAAAACAAAATAACGCACCGAAACTACAAGGACTGTCGCAGACGGCACCAAACCCAATTCTGCAAATGTTTTTGTGGCATCAGAAAGTGTTTGCCTTGGATACATTTGCACCAAAGAGAAATCCTCGCCATGACGCCCATCCTAAAATTTAAAATTTTTGAAAAAATAGAAGCAAAATTCTCTGAATTAGACCTTCTTAGGGTGAAAGCACATCCCTTTAGAAGAGTCTAGTGTAGCAAGTCTAGGGCGAAGTGGCAACGGTCAGCACAACAGTGACATCCGGAAAACAGCCGACACTTTGCCAATTAGTTCTGTCGAGTAAATGGCAGAGATGGTAATCCCTTCAAGAGACAAACACCCAAAATGTACGAAGCTGATCACCACGCGATGCAACACTGGGCAAAGCAACTGCAAATACTGCCGGCTACGTAACAGCAGAATCAGACCGCGAACAAATAGCTCTTCAAAATATTCCAGCCATGCATTATTCAGCTGGAAAAACAGAATAAGCCAGCATACTTTTTTGAGTAATTCGATGAGCTCAGAAAGTGGAGCAGATGCAGAGAACTGATGCACCAGTGCTGAACCATCCGGAAACTTGCACTGAATACGACAGACCGCACTGCAAGTTCGGAAGAATCATAAAAAAATCCGATACTCTTGAAATGCGTTTTCGCATGTATATGGAAATTGTTGTGCAATTTTTGCATATATATGCTATTTTATGTGGACTCTACAATTTACTGACTTGACGAAACTGATGTCAAGACTGCCAGCAAGCGAGTCACAAACTTATATTGCACTGAACGTAGCAACTACGGGAGTGGCTCATATCTGCTACAAAAACCGGAAGCCATTCTATGAATCAGCAGTATTTCAGAAAAACAGTAGAGTGTATATTAAATTGAAATGCCCATACTGAGTAATCTGTGCAAAACAGAAGCATTGCTCAGCGAAGGCTTTGATTCGAGATAAAAAGACGTAAGGCGCTTCACAAATAACATAAAACAACGTTAAAAAATTTCAGTTTTCTTAGTTTACATAGATTTAGAATTGAATTATTTGTATGTCGAGCGGCAGAGGCATGATCTTGCCAATAATGCATTCTTGACTAACGTTAAAACGTATAATTAGAGGGAAAACACAAAAGTGAGAGGAAATACCTGTCGGAGACTGGCGGGGCCACGCAATTTTGTGCCTCGGCAGCAAACTCTTCTTGTTTTGGTTCAACGAAGTTACGTTTCCTAATGTTCATGCGCTCTTCCCTGTATCAAATTTTAGAATATATGAAATATGAATATATGAAACAATTAAAGGTCTAATTAAACTGCATTTGATTCTAAAAAACAAGAGAAAACATTTGCCTGAACGGCGGTAATTCCACATCAAAATGTTATAATATGCTGATTTTGCTTCTTATTTGTTAATATACGGTTGTTTTTTGCATTTGCGTGCAAAAACTCAAACTACCCAATGCAACTTTCGTTTGTAATACAGTTTAACGATTGCTCAACTGATTCTGATAGTATATTTCGCAAAATTTGCAACG